TCTCTCTCTCTCTCTCTCTCTCTCTCTCTCTTTCTCTCTCTCTCTCTCTCTCTCTTTCTCTCTCCCCTCCCTAACGATCTTGTGCCAGTCTCTCTAGTTGTCTCCTGATTTGACCCATCCTCATGGCCAGTGCATCCGCATCACAAGCCAAATGTTCTTTGGTCGTCCTCTTTTCCCTATCCCACATGAGTTACAGAGTGGGTAGTTGTCCTTAAAAAAGATAAACGTGAAAAATAAGTATGTTATTTTGTCAATATGAAAAGGTGTGTCTAGTTTGTGTGTTTGTTTGTTTTGTTTGATTAGGGTTTTTTTTGTTAGTATTTTCATTTGTCTGTTTGTTTGCTTGCTTGCTTGATTGATTTTTGTTTGTTTGATTTGGAGGAGGATTTTCTGTTGTCCTTTTGTTTTGTTTTTCTTTGCTTTAAACGATCTCATACGTTTTGTCTCCAGGCTCAGGGATCTTCATCTCTCCCAAGGGCGTGATCGCCGGCACTGGGTCCGTGGCCTTGAGTCTGATCGTCTGGGTCGCCTGCGGAATGATCTCCCTTTTTGGTAAGGGGGGCAACCTGGGCTCTGACCTCGCCTGCGGCGGGAGGCAGAACCAGTTGTCTCTTCCGGCACCCCTCTGTGATGTCAGTCTGATGTCTGGCCTGGCTGGCATCTGGCTTGTTGCGTCATGTACCTGGCGTGGGAGAAAAGTTGTTTGATGAGTTGATGTTAGAAAGGATAATATCATCAAAACTATCAAGAAGAAAAGGGATGGAGAGGGGAGTTTGTGGGTCGCCATGGAGTCAATGTATAAAAGGATTTCTACACATATTTACATGATACCTTTAAGCTTATAGGCTTCCTTTACTTTGGGGTAAATGTCCAGGGGTAGGAATATAAGTGAAATGTTTCAAGGGCATAACAAAATTCTTAATTGGCTTATTAGTGTAACTTGACCTCTTATGTAAAGTCACACTGTGTTTGTATAATATGACAAAGTGCCAAGTAATATGTCATTTTTAGACTGCAAGTGGGATTTACATGTATAATGACAGCCTCTCGTGTTTCTATATGCTTTTGTATTGTGGAGTCATTTCTGTTTGTATAGTATAATGAAGGGTTCCTTGCCACTGTCCAACATTAATGCCTCATTGATTGTTACATTATGCATCCTCAGTCATCACATTATGCATGCGGAGGTGTTTGGCTATTTGTTGTGGTTATTTCTTCCTCTTTTTTTTCTCTATCAATGTAATGTGCATTGAACATTCTTCAGAAAATGGAAATTGCTGCCTAAAGGCATATCACTGGGTTTTTTAGGGGTGGAGGTAGGCGTGCTTGCTCTTTTTTTTACTCGAGCAAATGGACTTTGCAACGAAAACTCTAAAAAAAAATTAGGAGAGGCGATAGGACCGGATGGGTAGTCCAGTTTATATGTTACTTATTTTAATGAGCTCAGCCGAAATAATACTGTGCATGCAATCGTGCTGTTTGGTTTTATTGTTTTTTCCCCTAGACTAACCTTCAGGGATGTATGTTCAAAGAAGTGTTGGGTTATTTGTTTGTTTGTTGTTGTTGGGTTGTTGTTGTTTTTTTGGGGGGAGTGTTTTTGGGGGTTATCTTTTTGTTTTTTGTTGTTGCTTTTTAGGAGGGGGGGAATTACAGATATATGAGCGTAAAAGTAAATGTTGAGCCTTTGTTTTGTAACTACTAAAGATGGGTTTTACTCTCACCGAAATATGTTCATAGAAGTAATTATTCTTATGATTTATGGAAGTAAGCCTGATGTTAGTTATTAAGAGATTGCTTCTCATTGCATGGTATCCTAGAGTTGTTTGTGTTCCGTCTGTCTATATCAGTTTTTTATGAGGAAGTAGAGAAACATAATCTAGTATTTAGATTGATTTTGATCTATGTACGCATAAATTATGTCTCCATTCATCTTTTTCAAAAACCTATTTATACCTGTTCTTCGAGAAAAAGATTGGTATTGATATTTTTTGTTTTACCTTTTAGTTGGCCAATTGCTTTCCTGGTGTTGTTGTTTTGTTGTTGCTGTTGTTATTGTTGTTGATTCTGATGATGATGATACTATTGTTGTTGTTGTTTTTGTTGCTGTTGTTCTGGGGCTGGAAGGAGACCCAATGTAATTTTCTTTCCACAGTACCAGAAGCATCGTTATTCACTGTGCTGTACCAAACATGTTTTCTTGACCATGGTTGCGCTCTGTAGGCAGGTGTTCTGTAAGCTACCTTGATACCACCCCTCAGTCTGTGATAACGTGGTCACACAGACATTCTTTCAGTCCCACTTTATGTATGACACATGTTTTTATCTTACTGATAATGATGATGATTACTCTTTGCTTGACGTTGCCTTAATTTTTTAATTGCTTGAGTTGCTCGGAATTTCTCGTCATCAATTTATGTGGCCCTCATCTGCAGGGCTTCCTTTTGACTGCTTTGTTTTGAGGCGGGTGGGGTTTTTTTCCCTCTTCATTTTATAAATACTGTTTTTTCCTCTGTATTTCTCTCCGTTTTTGTCTGTCTCATATCTTCGGAGGGGACCTCTTCTCTCCCGGTCCCCTCCCTTTAATTCAGCAGCCTCTCCATTTCTTCCAACTGACAGGTCAACACCGACTCTCGTGCGGTCTGACTCAGCAACATGATGGGAGTGACCGCCCTTCACGTGTCTCCCACATGTGTTAGGGACGATCCAATCAGCCTCTCCTCACCAGGCTTGTCATTGGCTATTGGTGGCTTTAGAGGGCGGGGCTCCATGCCCTCGCTCCCTCATAGACTAGTGTTGTTCCCACTCGAAGGTGCACACCCCTCCCTCCTTACCGGGGGGAGGGAGCTAAAGACAATACCTATGTAAGTACACGCCCAGTCACTGACACGCAACACAATATCCATCCTGTTGCTAGCCTAGCAGACTCGATCCTCCTACCATTCACACGATTGGCTAGCTCAAACCGGTGGAGGGACCCCTGCCTTATCTCCCCCTCCTCCTACTTCAAGGGCGTGTGGCAGCCATGTTTTTATGCTGCCTCAGAATGGCAAAGTTCCCCCCAAGGTAGACAATGGTAAAGGAAGGCATATCGAAGCTCAGGTACACATGGCCTTGACATTTATAGCGGGTAGACAAACAAATTATTCTCACTAATCGTTTCTATCTCATTAGGGATGTCAATGTAAATTAAATAATTTTATTTTAGCATGTAGCTTGTCGGTATACCAAGCAAGTGGGTCTTATTTTGTCAATGGTAAAGTGATTTGAAGACCCTTGTGTCTTAAATCTGTCAACGAAGTTTAATTCAACGTAATTGAAATAATATAGTATTTTGTAGATTTATGTTTCGCTTCAGAGTATTGAAAATACACATTCCTGGTCACAAGTTGTGACATAGGCCTATATTTGCAACTTGTTCTGAGTCATAGAAACAAAGAGAAAAGTTTGCATACTAATTTAGATAAATATTTATCTTTTAATCTTTTTTTTATATTTTTGTTTTTCATATGAATATATATATATACATTTATTTTCCACTTGATTATTGATTTACGTATTTTTCTTTGCTTTTTTTAGTCTAATTCTAAATGGAGGGTAATTCTTTGAAACAAAGCAGCTGTCACAGACATCCAGAGAGCTGTGTAGATAATGTAATGCCCATTACTTTTCCCACCCTATATAACCGTGAGTGAGTATAAGTTTGTCGGCCATGTCTACCTGACGAATGTGTTCATCACGAGTTGAATTTTTGTCTGTGTGATGTTGGTAGTCAAATTTCCCTCCACAATACAATTCACGACTTTTGTCGGATATAAAGAACCGGAAAATGAAAGACTTATTAATTTTCCTGCACTTTGCCCTACCTAGTGGCAAAGTTTCCGGACTTAAAAGCAGATGAAAATTTGCGAAGAGCATTATGATATTAACCGCCAATGAAAAGAAGATATTATGAATTTAAACTTGCGGAAAGAAACTTTTTGGTTTTGTTTGAACAGAGTCGAATTGTTTGAAATTAAGAAACCATTGACTCTTATTCTTTTCTCGCGGGAAACGGTATTGTTATTTTTTTTATCCAGCCAGTGCGTCATTCCTGGCAATATATGTCTTCTGTGTTCTCGTGTTCAGCGAAGATGCAGTTCAATGCCATAATGGGCAACCCTTTTTTGAAATTGTTGTTAATTGAAACAAAAATGTAAAGAGTGTTGGTACAATGGACTCAAATTGATCATTAATTCCTTGCTCCAGGTTCAAAATTTTAGCTTAAACTGCAATGAACTTCGCTGACACGAATAGTAGTGTTTGCTCTCTTTGAGAATTTTGGCTATTCCAAAGGTTAGCTTTCTCCTACCTGGGGCATCAAAGAAAGCAAACGCTATGGAAATGTTGTTTGTTTTGTATTGTTTTTTTGTTGTAAGTGGGGGTTTTGTCTCATACCATTGTGAGGTTAACCATAAGTGTGTTAAAAGCAATAGAGAAAAGTTGTTATATTAATAAAGGAGATTATAGTGGGTTTTTTTTCAAAGAAACGCTTAATTTGACAGTACCTCTGATACTTTAGTTTTGCTCACAAGGTTATTTTACATACAAAGTAAGCGTCAGACTTTTTTGTGGATGAGCACAATGAAGATGCCTTCAGGGTTGTGGGTACGTAAGCTTTTTACAAGAGATGACATTTTTGGACAAACATGGCGTGTCATATCATGTCTGTACTATCTTACTTTAAAGGGGGGGGGGGGGATGGGGATTAAAAGAAGAAAAGGATAGAGGTAGCTCAAGACCAACTTAACATACAAAACGTCTAAATTCTTGGTCAACTGGAAGTGGGATATTACAATATTTCTGAGGAGGACCTAGTGTAGGACTGACAGAAGAACCATGACTGCCAATGTCTGTTCCAAACCCACTTGGAAGAGCAAGAGAATCTGAAGTTTGAGCGGTATATATGGGGTTTGGTGTGAGGGTAATGTATTCCTGAATGAGTAATTTCACTAACTTATTGTTGTCAAGGGTGGGAAATTCTATATTATCTCTCCTTGTTGAGAAGGAATAGAATTTGATGAAATAAAGAGTTTTGATTGGAGAGAAAAGAAAGCTATCAGCTTCAGAATTGTTTACTGGTAGAAATACTGTAATGCCTTCGTCAAAACAGTAGATTCAGAATTTGTCATTTCAGGTCTATTCATGTTTATGGTTTGTTTGTAGTGTCCTTTGTGGTTTCATGTTTGTTTCTGTTACCTAGTTGTTGTTTTATTTTATGTGTGTCTGTGTCGTGCAGGTGGGGAGAAGGATGTTCGTTGTCTGTGTAATCATTACATGCATGTTTGTTGTGTTGTGTAGAGTGTAGTTGTAATCCACAGTAAGTGAAATATTTTCCAGACACTCGTAGTCATCTGCTCTTAAAAATTTCAGTCGTAATTCATATGGACTCGGTTTTATTTGTGTTGAGAATGACGAAATTGTGGAGGGAATTTTCCTAACGTCCACGCAGTGATTGAAATCAAGTAGACCACTGCAGGGATATTTCATCATCCATCTGTCATTCATCTATCAGT